TATATATATATATCATAAGATTAACTTACAGCATTGCTTCAACCAAGTTTCCTTGTGGATGGCAAAAGATTAGATTCTGTGAGAGCAATAACATTCAGCTTGCTGCAGTTTCAGGACAGGAAATGTGTCGCAGGAAATATTGCTGACCCAACAATGATTCTTTAAAATAAMGTCTTCAACTTACTGAAGTTACAAGTAACTAAAAACGTCATAAAACTTTGCCATATCCATTAYAATATTAAAAGAAAATGCTGTTAAAACAACACAGACTGTAAAATGTGCCAATGCTTCAAGGTATTTAGACTGTTTCTTAGTATTCTTTTCCAAATGTTCTCCCTCTGTGTAACAACAATGCTGCRCTATCACTCAGAGTGCAACAGCTTGTATGAAACAAGAACAACTCGCAGAGAAAATGCCGCTTATTAAACAAGCATTGTACTTCACACGCCTCTGACTCTGTATGCTGTACTGTCGATTTGTAGGCTTAAGTTAGTTGTGCAGATCGGAGCACTCTTCTTCCTCAAACTGTTCAGAAGACGCTCCCTTGAGCATTGAAGCCCGGGCTACTGGTTCTTAAATTACAAGTAGCCACATGGGTAAAGCAGAGAAAGCGAGAATGGAGAGAGATGTACTTCTGCAAAATGGCACCTCATAAATCTGACATGCAGCCAAGTAGAGAGAAAGCAGGAAGAAAAAGACACGTATGGCAAAGGGAGGAAGCAAGAGAAGAAATGAAGAAGAAAATGAAGTGATATGTAAAGGAAAGAGACAAGGTGGAGGAGTTTCTTCCAGAGGACAGTGGACTTCGTTGGACTTCCTTTCACAAACCTACCCATGGCCTGTCAATTTCATGCTCAACAGCTCACAAAGAAAGAGGCAGTTTGCGTCAGCACAAGGATGCAAGCGCACAGTTAAGTGTCTGTAACAGATGGTGTGCAGCCGAGAGCTAGAYGCTGTTTTTACATTTCCATATAATCTATTGCTTCATCCCTTAAAGAGTAGCAAAAAAATCCCAAGCAGAAAGGCTGAAAGGTTGCTGCTGAATCACACACCAGATTACATTTTATTTGAAGTCTCCATTTGTCAAGAGGATGGGTAATGATGAAGATGATAAGAATTTTAGGCACGGCCTTTCATTTACATCTTTCAAGCCTTGTTTGAAGCATGTCCTTTCTGCTAATGGGTTTAGATCAAATTATTAACATTCTGAGAAACTGCAATCCAGGTTTTGGGTGAATGCTAATCACTGTTCTGCACCACATAAAGGTTGATACAGACAGCAACTTAAAACAAGCATAATGAATTTTTCCCCCAGTTTTCATATCTGACACATTTTTCTTGGTCTTTTTTTTTAATGCTTCCATCTCGCTGTTTCAAAATTGAGCAGAACAATTCTCTACAAACTCTTGTGACCAGTTTAAATCATTTTAAGAAATATATTTGAGATCACTTTAAAAGATTTAATAAACCGGAAATTCTTTCTGGTCCTTTAAATGCAACTTTTAAAAGTTTATGTCCGTCACCGTCCCTGCAGCAGCAATAAAAAATAAAAATAAAATAAAATAAAAGCACCCTGCTGATGTGTCTCAGCTCACCAGTGTCGCATTCTTGCCGTAGTCCACCCAACGCAGAGTGGCAAAGTTTGTGGACTCTGCACAGTTGAAGCCATGGTTGAAGCCTGCGTGGTAGCCGTAGGGAAAAGTGATCATAAACTCTCCTTCATTCTGAGTTATCTGTTCAGGGAAACAAAAACACAAAAAACAGTTAAATTCAGGACTGATTTTTGACATTTCCCACAAAATCCTATTTTATGTCAGTGCTGAAAATGCCTCAAACGTGTAAGGTGGCAATTTATTCAACCAATTATTTTATACAGCTGTGATTCATGATTTTCTGATATAATAATGTAATCAAACGTAAGTCTCAGACATCACAACTTTACTCAAAATTTTTCTTCCTTCATGCCAATACGACTGCTGCTAAAAACTCAGTGTTGGGCTGAGGTTCTTTAAGAATACGGGAACTTAAACTCACTTTTGTTAGTTTTGCTCTAAAAGTTTAGCCCTGTAAATGTGTCTGTAGAGCTCAAAYTTCTGTGTAAAGTTACAATCAAGAGACACATCAAGCCCAACAAGAAAACAGTCATGAGGGGAGAAAAAAAAATCGGGTAGAGAAGCTGAACTTCCTCAACTAACAGCAATGGTTCAGATATCAAACTGTCAAATCCCTCTTTGCTCAGGCAAGAACAGAAGACAGTTTTATTTTTACACATGACTCGAGAAAGATACTGCAGGTGTGCAACCCCCAACATGCTCACTGTGATAATGACGTCCTGAGGGGGAGTGTTGGGATAAGTCGGGTGAAGGGGGTCTTTGGATGCCTGCTCTATGCCTTATATTTTCCCCTTCAATTTTCCATTTTATTTATTTATTTATTTATTTATTTATTTTACACTGTGGAGGCACTGCAAGTTGAAAAAAAGTGAAAAGATGGCAATTAATTTCAGTGACAGACACAAGTGCTGATCTTTACTTGTGGTTGCGTCATTGCTGAGTCATTCAAAAGAAACCCACCTCTTCTGCAATTTATGGATCACCAGAGTAGAGAAAAGCAAGTGAAAATAGATAAATTTACTTTTTTTCTCTCAATACTACACATTTCTAGTTCAGTTCATACTCCTACAGCAACCTTCCCTTCAGTCGTCACTGTGGTTACAAGGAGGTTAAAATAAATCAACAAAGAGAGATCAATTGGTTTTGATCTACTTTGAGACAACCTGAATGTTTAATACCAAGTACTGTCTAAAATAATTACAAAAGCCTTCACGTATGAGTATACTGATAAAGATCAATCTAATGTCAGCTTCAGCCATGTAGTCATGGATCTTTGCTACTCACTCTGTCGAARGGGATGCTGTACTTCTTCAAGATGGATGGAGATATCAGCGTCATCTTGTGGCGAAGGAAGGCGTCGCAGCCTTGGCAGCTACCAGGAAAAAAACCTGCAGGGGGCGACAGTGAGCATTTAGACTTCAGAGAGGGAAAAAAAAAAGACTAGAATGTGAAGAGTCTCMCAGTATATAGTGCCGCCATCAGTGGTGGGCACCAGTCCGCTAAAGCGCAAATCCGCTAATTGCGGACCTAAATATGTCATTTGCGCTTTAGCGGTCTTACTAATTTTTATAATTCATAAGCGGATGTGCGTTTTTAAAATTAAAAATGCAGGACTGCTAATAACTAATTATCTACCAATTATCACAATCTTGAATATCAGAAGTATCATTTGATAAGGAACGTCATCTGACATTACAGTAAAGAAATTCCCTTGAAGAGTTTATTATTTTCTTGAACAGCAGACAGGGCTTGCTGTTAATAACCAACACCATGACAAAACATGGCATTGCAACAGCGCCCTCTCAGATGAACGATAAAATAACACAAAGCTTTATCCTGTGACTAACTGTTCTGCGTTATGGTTCTGAAATTGTGTGTATATATATATATATCTTTTGTTTTTAATGTGTATAAAATTTTGGTTTTAAATGAAATTAATAAACAATTTAAACTAAACTAAAAATTAAGAGAAACCTCCTCCCACAATGCTTTGCGTGGTGGTGGGACGTATTGGAGGAAATTCCCCCACTTTTCTTGAGCGGCGCGCCTGCTGTCTGTGGTTCTGATCGTGAGGTTCTGATCTGAGATTCAGCTGAAGTGTGTCTCCAGGTTCCAACCACATATGAAACGCTCAATCTTGCATTTTATTGRTGGTTCCGGCCCGGGTAGAAGCAGCGCCTTTGACGTCAGGCGGTTGGAAAAAAAAATTGCTTCTTCCAGCTGATCAGCGCAGAAATGAAGGAAAACTGGCCGACCACGGGTTGTACAAGTATGTATATAAAATAACATTGTGGCAATAAATAAATAAAAGACAGAGCGGCTTTTTTATTTCTCAACACAACAGCGCTGTGTAGACCCTACGTCTGCCCATACTCTCTCACATACACACACACACACGTTTGTTTCTCGACCCCATGGGGACCTTTCATTGACTTCCATTCATGTTTTTTAGACTTTATATCCTAACCCTGACCATATACTCTAAAATTAACCTCACAGAAACTTACCTGACCCTAAAACTA